CCCTAACCGTACATATTTAGATTCTAGTGCAAGTGTTTCCTAAAGTATGGAGGGTTAAGAGGGACAAAATAAAATAAATAAATATGTCATGAAATTAAAAAACAATACATTATTTATAAGTGAAAAATCTACAATTAAATTATAAAATGTTAAATGAAACAAATACGTTTTTAAATATATCATCAAATGAATAAATGTACCATTGTTCAGTGAAGGAAGTACATTTTTAAACAAATCTTAATTTTTTTAGTCAATCTTAAAAAGATAGAATATCTATAATGTTTTAAAGATATTTCTGGTTCCTTAATTCAACAGCTGAAAACATTTTAAGGCGCCTAAGCCTGTCATAAATGTACTACAGTGCTTATATCACTGGTTAATTTGCTGAGAACTGGATGGAAATATATGGAACTGAATTGAGGCCATAAGATTTGAGCACATTTTTTAAATTTTTTTTTTATTAGAAAAAATATTTTAAATCGATGAAAAGATCTGAAAGTAAAAATAATATAAAAAATGTACGTTTTTTTTGTTTTGTTTGTTTTTTAAACTGCTGGTCCCTTCAAGTGGGCGGGGCCTTGATGACTTAAGGTGTGGAATGATGACTGACAGTTTTAAGGACAAAAGATTCCCTGCTGTTGCATTCAGGAACCGTCATACCTAGAAATTTCTTCAGAATATAATTGATGTTCCATTTTTTTGCTTCATTGGTCTAAGCTGTTAAATTCAGAACATACCACTGATCTTATTAACGTCTCACTTGAAACAGCACTTTATAAGTACAGGCCAACTAGTGGAGAAATAATGATATTGACAAATGCAGATGGCGTATTCAGTCTGCTTTGGTCCCATGATTTTAAAAGAAAGTAGAAGAACCGACCGACTGACCGAAGCAGCAAACTCCAACACCATCATGAGCTTGGATCAGTGAAGGGAGTTAATTTTTAAAACGAATCTTATAAACATAGAATATCTATAATATTTTAAAGAAATATCTGATTCCAACGGTTCTTTAATAAAGCAGCTGGGAACATTTTAAGGCACCTAAGCCGGTCAGTCATCATTTCACACTCATGTTACCTAAGCCCCGCCCCCATACTGATGGGACACCAGTTTAAAACTGGAAAAAAAAGGCAAACTATAAAGTAGTTTTAAGCATTTCTTTTCATTTCAGACACATTTTTCTTCTGTTCCAAATTTATTTTTGTCATTTGTTGATCTGTGCGTGCATTGACTTTGTTTTCTGAAACTCACTCTGAGTTTCACAAAAAGATGTTTTTAAAAAAAACTTTACGTCACCAATGTAGCTCCGTAAAACTGCTCTAAGTATAATTTTTTTTTTCTTTGTTTTTTCTCTTAAAAGATGGATTAACATTCACATGAGACCATGATGCAAACACAATAAATATTGTGTTAGACAGGAGGCATTTTCTGGGTTCTGAACTTAGACAACATTTATTGTCATTTTGTATACAGAGTGTATAATTCAATTCAGTTTATTTCTATAGCGCCAATTCACAACACGTCATCTCAAAGTACTTTACAGTTCACCAGATCATCATCAAATTGATTTAAAGTGTTCTATCTAAAGAAAACCAGTTGATTGCATCGACT